TTTTTTTTTTTTGTAGCCGTGGCGTCACACAGCTCATAGCAACCTCCAACTCCTGGCCTTAGGTGATTCTCTTGCCTCAGCCTCCTGAGTAGCTGGGACTACAGGCGCCCACCACAACGCCTGGCTATTTGTTCTAGTTTGGTTGGGGCCAGGTTTGAACCCGCCACCCTTGGTATATGGGCTGGTGTCCTATTCACTGAGCCACAGGTGCTGCCCCCTCCTTTTTTAAATTTTTTTTTTGTTGTTGCAGTTTGGCTGGGGCTGGGTTTGAATCCGCCACCCTTGGTATATGGGGCTGGTGCCCTACTCACTGAGCCACAGGCACTGCCCAGCTTGTGGCATTTTCTAAAATTATAATAATTTTATGAGAATCTGTTGTCAAACCTAAAATGAGGGGAAAAAAATGACTTTAACTCCAACTGCCAAAAGGAAGGTAGCCTTTTGTTCTACCCTAATTCACTTCACTGTGCCTGGAGATTCCAATAACTTCCTGCATAAAAATCAGTTAGTGGGGCTGCGCCTGTGGCTCAAAGGAGTAGGGTGCCAGCCCCATATGCTGGAGGTGGTAGGTTCAAACCCAGCCTCAGCCAAAAACTACAAAAAAAAAAAAAATCAGTTAGTGACCATAGTGCTGAGGTGCAATCTGAAATACTGGGGAAAGAGAAAATATTTATCACTAAAAATACCTTTACAAATGTTTCAAACTAAGATTTCCATGGAAAATTTTCTAACCATTAAGAGTCTTGCAGCAACTTGGATGGAACCAGAGATCATTATCCTAGGTGAAGTATCTCAAGAATGGAAAAATGCATATCACATGCACGCTCTAATAATTGGGAGCTGAATGATGGCACACACGGACACAAAGATACACAAAAGAAATTAGAAACCAGCAAGGGGGGAAGGGGTGTGGTCTAATGTACTGGTTAGATACCAAGGGGTAAAAATTTACCTACTAGGTATAATGAACACTATTCGTTGATGGGTACACTAAAAGCTTGGACTTAAGCCTTATACAGGGTATACGTGTAACAAAACATTTGCACTCCCTTAATATTTTGAAATTAAAAAAAAAAAGCCTTGGAAAGTGTATAAGTGTAGGCTACATTTCTCATATGGCTGGTAACATAATACCTATGCATAAGCCAATATAGTTGTCTTTTAATATCCATGGAAGGCACCAAAATCCAGATGCTCCAATCCCATATACACAATGGTATAGTACTTTCATAACCCACACCTTCCAGTACACTTGAAATCATCTTTAGATTACTTATAATACTCAATACAATGTAAATGCTATATGAATCTTTACACTGCATTGCTTAAGGAATAATGAAAGAAAAAAA